GCGCCGCAGGAGGAGGAGGGGCTGCGTCGGTCATGTCGGTGTCTGAGGGCTGAGCTCCCGCGTCCATTTTTGGAAACCCTAGAAAGCTTTGGTCTTTTGCTTTCCCTTTTTGTTTCTTTCTCTCTCTCTCTCTCTCTCTGCCGTCTCTGTTTTGCTTTTAGCTCTCTCGGTGTTGTTTTCTTGAATGGCCGAATGGGGCTAAAAATGGTGGTATTATTTGGGAGGAGGGGAGTTTGTGTATAGTGTTTGTATTATCTGCGCCGTAGTGAATCCTGCTTTGATGCATTAGAATTTACTTTCCAATTGTAGATTAATATTAATTATTATTTCTCAACTCACTTATTAGCGTTTTATCTTTTTGGAGATTGACATGTTGAAGGCAATATAGATTGTAGATTGATACGGCATTCGCTCGCAAATGAGAAAGTATCAAAAGAGCCTAGGTTGCGAATCAGGAAATGATTAAGACCACAAACGAGCTGCTGAGATAAAGTTATAATAAGTTATACTAATGTAGAGATGAAAAGGTTGTATACATATTATCCAAGTATACTAAATAATACATGTAAAGGTGATCTTTCACATGTTTGGGGGAGCTTTTTTTTTTTCTTTTGGTTCAAGTAGCTTACTAGCTAGTTTTTTCCCTTTATCCCATATACGACGCGCGCTTTTAAGCCTCATTTAAAAAAAGTTAGGATTCCCTAAAAAAACTAGCTTGTATGTAAATAAGCGAAGTTTTATCAAGTAAATTGCGATTTTATCTCAACAATTTTGACAAAATTTTCATGATAAAAGTCAAAATATACAATAAAGGATAATTTTGATATTAGCCCCCAACATCTTCAATATTTCAATATCAGGCCCCTAAATATTTGAAATTGAACTCAGGCCCCCCTAAATCTTCAATATTTCGGTATTAGCCCATCAAAATCTTTGAAATTGATCTTAGACCCCCCAAATCCCATTAGTATATTGAAATAAGTCCCTCGGTTAAAATCTGATTAAAATAGTGATTATTCTCTTTACTTAACTTTTTCAATAATTTGTCATTTATACTCCTTCACATAAACCCAAACATATTAATCACTTTAACTTATACCTGTTAAGCCTCCGAAATCCATTTAATAAAACCCTAACCCAAAAGCATCTTCCACTTTATATTCTCCAACCATCTTCTCCAATATGACTCTCTTCAGCTCCAATCCCCAACGTATATCGGATAGATTCCCGTTGGGGAAGATATTAGAGAAGACACTATACAAGATGAAGTGAAAAATGAGTTTGCATTAGAATTTTATTAATCGGATTTGCGGGATCTTCACAGTCATAAGTTAAATTGGTTGGGTTTGAGTTTGTGTGGAAGGGGTATAACCAGCAAATCATCGGAAAAGTTAAATTAAACAGAAAATTTCTCCTGTTTTTACTTGATTTTAATTAGGGGGCTTATTTCAACATACTAATAGGATTTGAGGGGCTTGAGGTCAATTTCAAATATTTGGGGTTGGGGAGGGGGGGAGCTAATATTGAAGTCTTTGAAGATAAGGGGGGGTCCGAGATCAATTTTAAAGATGTGGGGGGCTAATATCGTAATAACCCAACAATAAATCTTGGAATATCATCTAAAGTGACGTAACTAATTGGGCCGTCGACGTTAGGAGCAAAATTGTCGGAGGTTTAGTGGGCTCAGGCTGTTCTGGCCCTTGTAAGAGCGCACCCTGGCTTCCCAAAACAAATTTCGCGCTAAAACCTCTCTCTCTCTAACCTCGGCGGCCATGGCGACCTTCAAAGAGCGACTCCAGCAGCTAGAAGACAACCGAATTCAAAGACTCTCTCTCCTCCAGGTCCAGTCCTTTTCTCTCTCTCGAAACCCTAATTTCTCTTCTCATTCCTCTTTCTCCTTCCCTTTCCTCACTCCGATTCCCCTTGATCGCAGGCGGAGAAGCAACTCGAGTCCGAGAAATTAAAGATTTTAAACGAGAATATCGCCGTCATCCGATCATTGGAGAAGCGTTGCTTGCTGTTAGAGAGAAGGAGCGCGGACCTAGGGTTTCAGATCTCAGCCAAAAGGTCCGAGATTGAAGCCTTTAATGCCAAGTATCAAGCCTCCGTTCTAGAATTTAGGTGAAGGTTTCTCCTTTTCGTTTATTATTATTATTATTATTATTATTATTATTACATATATAGTTCCACAATCAACCATATTTGTAAGTTTATCCCCAATTCTAGATACTTGCTAATTTATCTTCCAATCCTATCGCATTGAGTAAAAATACTCGTTATTTACCAATCTTACCCTCTAATTCAATCATATTGAGTTAAATGTTATCTTGAGAAATAATCATAAGATATTCCTAATTTTTCTAAGGATGTTATATGAGTTTTTAACTCACTGTGGTAGAATTGGGGTAAATTTGCAAATATGATTGATTTGGAGAGTATATAAGGGGGAAAAGGTTTTGTTGTTGTGTACTGATTTGTTTTTAGTTTCTTGGATTTATTGTGTGAGGGATTTTGATTAGGGTTTTGAAGAGGGAGCTGGATGAGCTGGAGGTGAGAGAGAAGGAGCGGGATAAGTTTTATGACGCGAAACTGTTGGAGATGGAAGAGTTTAAGGAGACAGTTAGGAGGCGAGTATTGGATGCTCGATTGGAAGTTGAGACCATGAGGAGCTCTGTGTCTAAGGTGAGTTCTTTCTTTACTTGTTTTTGTTAGAACAACAATATGGATTTGAAAAACTTAATATATCACACAACGAAATAAAATCCCAGCAAGATTATAGAAAACGATGACTACAACCGTGTAAAAATCAACCTTATTAAGGAAGCTTAAGACTATGACAACAACAAAAATTTATGTATACATTTGGATAAACAAAGCAAGCACAAAAAGGAACATTACCATACTTACAAAGAAAAAAGTCTCAAATTTTTTTTTATTACTACGTCTAAATCATGCAAGACTTGATATAGTTAGAAAACAAAATAAGGACTGAAATTAACGACAGAGCCATATTAGAAAGAATACATATTATCCATATAGCATAAATGGTTTAAAAGAACAGAGATAGAAAAATAAATAAGGCAGGTTCAAAATAAGCGGGATAAAGATATTGAAACAAGAGAATAGACCAATTTAGATGGAAGATAGAGGTCTGTCAATGACAGTCTCCTTAAAGCAGATTTTCGGCCTCCAGGATGCTCGAGGAACTCGTCGGAACTGCCTCCCTGGATACAACAAGCCAAAGCGAAGTAAGTGGCACAACTCCTCCGCTACGTCGAACCAAACTTGAGAAGAACACACTAAAAGGAATGCAAAGAAAGAAAAAGCGAGAAAGTTTTTTTTGTTTTCAGTGGTTGAAAAAGAAGGGGAGGCTTCCTATTTATAGGCTAATACAAGGGTATTGTTGGAAATTAGTATGGAGCATGAATTGAAAAATTCAGTAACTTATTGCTGATTTTTCTCCCGTGAGAAGCTCAACCATGTCCAGCGAAGAAACCATCCGTGTTTAAAAAATTCAGCAACTTATTGCTGATTTTTCTCAAGCACGTTCAAAGCCAATGATCAAGTCCATTGCTAATGGGTTAGATCCAAAGCTTTATTTATTTATTTATTTTTTTCTCTTTGCACTCATAGGCTTCTAACAACGTGGGCTTCTATTATACACATTTCTAAGTCATTTTTCATTTCACCTCCCAACTATTTTCCAACAATCCCCCACATGAATGAAAAAATGTTTTGATTCGACTCAATGATTGTGTTCAATGAATGATACATGCATATGATATGTAGGTGTTACCCTTTGAACATTCCCTTGTGAAATACACTTACTTTACTTGTTGTCCAGTAGACATAATGTCCTTGAGCTGTCCCAATTTCTCTTGTAAAGAGCCATATATTTCACACAGATATCAACCTCTTATTGTTTAGTTCTCATGATTATGTTCGCTTTGGCCATGAACATCTACCTGGTTCTGCGAGAGTTTTAGAGAATTAAGCCCTTACAATTCTTTATTGAAGCGGCCCCACTTCACTCTTACATAGGTGATTAACTTAAATCTCAACTTAGGAATTATTAAAGCAACACATTGCTAGCCTAATCACTTCACATCACTGTTTCAAAATAGGAATAGGTTGGGGTTATCCCCCTACAGTGACTACATCAAGTTCTTATAACTAGGTTGTCCCTTTGAACCTAGATCTTGGGATCTCCAATCAACTAGGTTAGGTTTCCTTTACAAGAACTTATTTACCCATGGGCTTTAGTCTCATTCCTTTAGTCAACTTCTCAACCAAATCTCTATTTAACCCTTTGGTTAACAGATACGCTAAGTTATCCTTTGATCTTACATAATCAATAGTGATAACTCCAGTTAAGAGTAATTGCCTAATGGTATTATGTTTACGACGTATATGTCTAGACTTACCATTATACATATCACTCTGTGCTCTTCCAATTCCAGACTGACTGTCACAATGTATACAAATTGGAGGCACAGGTTTCTCCCATTTTGGAATGTCCTCTAAGACCAGACTGACTGTCACAATGTATACAAATTGGAGGCACAGGTTTCTCCCATTTTGGAATGTCCTCTAAGAAATGGCGTAACCATTCAGCTTCTTCTCCATGGAGGCACAGGTTTCTCCCATTTTGGAATGTCCTCTAAGAAATGGCGTAACCATTCAGCTTCTTCTCCATATTTATCCAAAGCTATAAATTCGGATTCCATAGTGGATCTAGCTATAACTATTTGTTTCGAGGACTTCCAGGATACAGCAGCTCCAGCCAATGTAAACACATATCCACTTGTGGATTTTGTGTCTTTTATATCAGAAATCTAATTTGCATCACTGTATCCTTCTAGGACTGTAGAATATCTTGTATAATACAATCCATAATTCTGAGTGTATCGTAAGTATCTTAGTACTCTTACGATTGCTTTCCAATGATCAACACTTGGATTACTTGTAAATCTACTGAGTTTACTGACTGTATAAGCTATATCAGGTCTTGTACAACTCATTAGATACATTAGACTTTCAAAAATTCTTGTGTATTCTATTTAGGAAATACCCTCTCTATTCTTAGCTAGATGGAGACTAGTGTCTAATGATGTTCCGGCAACTCCAGTGTCATCCTTGTTAAATTTTTCAAGGATTTTGTCCACATAATGAAACTGATTCAAATTAAGTCCTTGTGATGTTCTCATAATTTTAATTCCTAAAATAACATCAGCAAGTCCCATATCTTTCATGTCAAATTTAGAATTTAACATGTTCTTAGTAGTTTTTATCATTTTGTCATCACTACCAACAATGAGTACGTCGTCAACGTAAAGACATAGAATGACATATCATTCTTTTGTTTCCTTAGTGTAAACACATTTGTCACACTTGTTGATTATATATCCGTGGGTAATCATTGTATAATCAAACTTTTTATGCCACTTCTTTGGGGCTTGTTTTAGACCATATAATGATTTAACTAATTTACAGACTTTCTTTTCCTTTATGCCACTTCTTTGGGGCTTGTTTTAGACCATATAATGATTTAACTAATTTACAGACTTTCTTTTCCTTCCCAAGAACTACAAAGCCCTCGGGTTGGACCATATAATGATTTAACTAATTTACAGACTTTCTTTTCCTTCCCAAGAACTACAAAGCCCTCGGGTTGTTTCATGTAGATTTCTTCATCTAAATCCCCATTTAAGAAAGCTATCTTTACATCTATTTGATGTACTTCTAGATTCCTCAACGCAGCGATTGCAAGAATCATTCTAATAGAATTTATTCTTGTCACAGGAGAATAAGTATCAAAATAATCTAAGCCTTCTTGTTGCTTGTATCCTTTGATTACAAGCCTGGCTTTATACTTGTCAATAGTGCCATCGGGTTTCATTTTCTTTTTAAAGATCCATTTGGACCCTAAAGGCTTACAACCAGGAGAAAGATCTGTAGGGTCCTGATTTTGCTTATGTATACCAAGTGTAGAATCGTGACCCTTAAGAATAGAGTGCGTTCTTATAAAAATCTGCGGAAGCTTTACACTTAAACACTAGAGGGTGAGTTTGCAAAGTAGATTATAAATTACAAAGAAAAAATGGCAATCTCAGAAAATAAATATCACAAACACAAGCATGTATACTGGTTCTATCTCCCCGGTGTACATCCAGTCCCCAAACAAATGCTGTTTGAGAGTTTTCACTATGATTTTGAAACCTTATAAAATCAAAAGCAAACCTAACCAATTTACAAGACCATGCAAATTGCAAACCCAATTGACAAGACCATGCCAATCGTCACACCGATCTCTAGACCAAGAGATCAACCCCTCTCATAAACCGAGAGAATCTTTCTTTGAAGCAATATACAATTCCAATCCTATAAGCCTTGATCAACCCCTCTCATAAACCGAGAGAATCTTTCTTTGAAGCAATATACAATTCCAATCCTATAAGCCTTGGTATAGATGTGAATGTATAACAGTGGCTTATCAATCTTTTTAACTCTCTGAATATTGCCTAAACAAACTCTAAGAATGATAAGAACAAAGGCAATATCAGAAACTCTCTTTTTTAGAAAAATAGATTGAAAAACTAAAAGTTTAGAGAGTTAATTTGCACAATATGTGAATCTTATAAGTACAAAACTTGGTGCTTGTTTTCTGATGTTTAAACCTATTTATAGCCTTTGAAATGACATAATTTTAAACCCAATTAACGTCCATCTGGAAAAACTGTATCTGTAGTCGATTACAAGTCATAGTAGTCGACTACACTGAGTCTAAACAGACTCTGTGAAGTCAGAAAATTGCTTAGTAGTCGACTACAAGGCATAGTAGTCGACTACACTGTAAACTCAGATTCTGAAATTTTTTTTTTAGTATTTTGACGGTAACTTTCCCATCCGATATCGGAATGAGGTGATTTAAGATTTGTTGGAAAGCTCTTGAAGAGACCTACAACTTTAATCTTTTGAGTTTTTCCAGATTCTAATTATTAAGGGGTATAAATAAAATATTCTAAGACTCACTCAATATCTATAAACTCTAATGGCTAACATATGGGATTTCTATTGTTAACCAACACACTAAGCATGTGTTAGTGTGTTCTAACACTATGTGTGTGCATGTGTGTGAGTGATCAAGGCTTGTACAAATTTCTAAGCAAAGAAAATATAAAATTATATTTAGACAATAAAGTATATCTTTTTCTTTGCTTTATTTTTCCTTGAACTCATCTATGTCTTGAGTATCTCTTTGAATATAATTGTTGATATAGCTCTGATACTGCAAAACAAATATTAGCACATAATACACACAACATTTAATATTTGTTATCATTAAAATAAACTAATCTAGGGGTCAAGATTCCTAACAAGATCCACCAATTCTCAAGTGTGATTCTGTAAAATAGATTCTTTCTTGCTTTGGATTGCTTCTTTCCAAAAAGGTCCATCGGAAGAATTCACGGCCTCAGTATAAGTTTAAGGATCCTTTTCTATCAAGTAAGTTAGAAAATCATCTCCAAATGATTTTTCTACTCTTACTCTTTTGTTGTATCTCGGTTCATTTTCTTGAGCCAAATCTTGACTTTCATTTTGATTCATAATATCATATGTTCGCTTTGAAATGCTTGCTTCATGATTGGATTTACAAGGAAAGACATTTTCAAAAAAAGATGCATTCCTTGATTCTATTATCGTATTCATGTGTATATCCGAATTTTTTGAATCATGCACAAGGAACCGATACGCGTTGTTGTTATGTGCATAGCCTATGAAGATACAGTCCATCGTTTTAGGACCTATCTTTGTTTTCTTTAGTGTTGGAATTGCTACTTTGGCAAGACATCCCCACACTCGCAAGTATTTGTAGGATGGTTTTCAACAATTCCATAACTCATAAGGAGTTTTATCTTGTTTCTTTCGGGTTACCCTATTTATAAGGTAATTGCTTGTTAAAATAGCTTCACCCCACATATTTTGAGGTAGCCCAGAACTTATAAGCATCACATTTATCATTTCTTTTAATGTGCGATTTTTGCGTTCAACATCACCATTTGATTGAGGTGAATAGGGTGGAGTTACTTCATGTATGATTCCATGCTGAGCACAAAAATCACCAATTGGAGTTTCATATTCTCCACCTTTATCACTCCTTAGTCTCTTTATTCTCTTATTAAGCTGATTTTCAACTTCCTTTTTAAAGAGAATAAATTTCTCTATGGCTTCATCTTTGCTCTTTAGCAAGTACACATAACAATATTTTGTGCAATCATCAATAAAGGTAATAAAATATTTATTACCACCCCTTGTTTGCACTA